TTCGCACCTTGATGAAGAGAGTGAAGAACGAACGCAGCTTCTGAAATCTTTATTACGGTAGCAACCCTGGGTGTAAATTTCTTTAGACACCTCTATAAAATTCTGCCGGACGTGTGAGAATCGTTCCAAACGGATAGAAGTGAATAGAAATTACCTGATTGACGGTGCTGTTCCTTCCTGGTCTTGGCATAAAAGACAAAACTGTCTTAAGCTGTGACTATTCTTTAGAATACATAAGGACAACTGATGGTGATAAATACTGGGGTGTCCCATTTTCACCTAGAATTTATGAGGACTTGACGTCATGATATGATGATTTGTCACACCTTTGACTGTGACCAGTGAAGCAGTCAGAATTTTACAGCTGTAGAGTTTCAGATAGTGGTCATAGTATTATCAAAATCCTCCAGATAGTTCAACTGTATTCTGTCACAAGCTATTCGAGAAGTTTTCGGGAAGAGGATGACGATACAAGGACGGTCTTGTCACACTGGGTGCAGGCTTTCAGCCAGAGAGGATCCAAAGCACAGATTTGATAAAACAAGAAGCTCTTTCCGCTTGCCTTTACGATGGCTTCCAGGCTTCCAGTCCAGTTAGCATGGAGGTCGATAGCAGAACACACGCAATTCAACACATTTTGGGGGCTGGATCCATGACAGTTCAGAGTACAGTTAGTTAGCTATCCTACTGAGCACCCGATGTCACTGGTGGATGTTCTAAAATAATGCCTGTGTGACTTATTCCTTAATGCTTGTATTAATGCGTAACTACATCTTGGGATTCTCCGGACCCCGGCATCATTCAGAGGCTCGATGCTCAGTCTTCCCTGGCTACGACAGAAACGCTTTGTCTTCTCCCCACCTGCCAGGGGTATCCATGCCTGCTGGCCTCCTCCCGGGCTGACCTGCTGTGGGGAAGGTCTTTCCCTTCATCTGTGCCTGGTGAACTCCATTTCGTCCTTCCAGAAACAGCACATGACAGAGCTGACATGACAGCAGCTGATGCTGACTGACGCTTTCCTCAGAATCAGGGCTGTGCTGGTGCTCTACAAACAATCTTGCCTTTTATCCTCCAGTCCTCGCCCAAGAAAGGGAGCCCGTTCCTTCCTCCCGCTCCTGGGCGCCAGCCCCACTGAGTCACCTCGCACCTGCCCCTGGCAGGTCCCTGTCTAATATTAAGGCAATGACCACACGGCATGCCACATGCTAGACGAGAAAGAGCGAAGTGGGACGGGGGAGGGAGGGGCATGAGGGAGAACATCTTGGAAGGTGTTCTGGTGACAGGATGTATAGGGCGGCTCTCTCTTAACGGCTGAATAAATGAGTCCGGCGAAGAGGATGATGGAGGAGGTGCACATTAAAAACGACTGGTGTCGGCAATGATGGCTAGGACACGAAGGACACCAGGGGCGACATGTGGACATCGGTACGAGGAAGAGAGATTTCTCTCCGTTAGTTAACTCTGCGCTTATGGGAGGCGGGGTCGATCCAGAGCTAGAGCTTTTCTGAACACCAGGGGTAGGTTGACAGGGAGGGAGGAAAGCCACGAGAGGTCAGACAGCCTGGGGGCTCACGGGAAGGTTACAGCGGGCGTTTGTGGATGACTTCCAGGCACAAGGTACTCTGGCCCCTGTTTTCCGCCAGTGGGTCACTACCGTTTTCCCACTCTCAGTCAGTATGGTTTTGTGGAATCCACTCCACCAACAGTGGATCTTGAGGCACTTTCTCCCCCTGTTGGGGGGCTGTGGTATCACAATGGGAGACATGAAACTGAGGCCGCCATTTGCAACCACATGGGGCTGCCCAAGGAGACGTTTGGACAGAATGGGGGTGGAGCGGATTCCCCAGAAGGCACCCTGGCTAGAGGGAGAGAGTCTACCCCCGTGACATCAGGTCACTGCATCCAAACCTTCAGGAAGTACGTTTCCTCCCAAGCTCCCTTCACAGATGAGGGGGAGGGGGACTCTTGCTATGGTCTTACTTCCTCGCCACCCCTCTTCGCAGGGTGAGACGAGTGGTTAGCTTATCTTCTAGGCAAGGGTTGAGGGACCATATAGGGGTACATGCACACCTAACCCAGGGCAAGTTCCCCAGGCTAGACGTGCAGAACACCCCACTGTCCTGGGCTCAGTGAGGGTCCTCAAGGGGCGGATTCCCCACCGATTGTCACAGAGACTGTGAAAGAGAGCTGACATTCTCAAAGGAGAAGGGATCTGAGACCACATGACCCCGGACCTGCCAACAGCCCTCCATGCTTTCTGTGGCCAGGTGCACGCACATGATGGAGCTCCCAGAGAGGGAGGTACGGAGCCAGGGAGGCCATGTGAGCTGAGGAACACGCTTTTGCACACAAGCTATTTTGAGTCAGGTTTTCTGTTATTTGCAACAAACTAACCCAAATAACACTCTCGGGCTGGAGCAGTTGTGAAGTCCAATGTGCAATGCAGAATTCAGGAGACAGAAAAGGAACAGGAGTTATCTGGGGCTTTGCCTGTGTCCCTAGGAGATGGACGTTGGCTCCCATGTGCTCCCAACCCCACCCTGACGCAGCTCAAGAGCCTGGCTACGTATCACGATGGCCAGCACCGGGCTGTTGATGAGGATTCAGGCTCGGATTCTTACCTTCCAAACAAGGATTCTCTCCTCCACAGACTTGAATTTTTTTTTTTCCACACACAGCTGTGAAAATTCAGTCTGAGAATATGGTGTCAGTATCAACGTAACACAGCTTTGGGCTCGTTAATTAGAATTTTGAAAAAGCCATTCGTTCTAATAATGGTCAGGATGCTGCATTTTCCGGGTGACTAAATTCTACCAGCCTCACCTTGAACTGAGGAATAAGAGGCGTGTTCTGGATGCACGTGTGCAAAATTAAGGTATACTTGTCTTGATCAAGCATTAGTTTATCTTTCGGTAACAAACCCCAAAAGAAAATAAAATTAATGATGGAAAGTTATGTGGCAGCTCTTCTCACTCTCTCTTTTTTGGGAGGGGGGTTCATTTGCTGTTTGGGCCAATATATTCGCTTCCCCTATATATGAAAAAATCTGGGTTTCCTTGGTGTCTTGCTCGGTCCCAGGCTAGTTTTGCTGATCTAACTGTATCCACCTCAGGGACTGATATACCGATCTCCAAAACATAAGCATTGGGGGCCTTCTGAACTGAACTGTGGTCTTGATTACGGAGAGATTGATTCTTTTCAATTTTATTGCAATATCAGGCAACGGGCTTTTTTTCTTCGGTCATGACCAAATACTTACAAATGTATTTGGGTCTCTGAGGTCAGTCCTACCATCTGCTTCCTGTGTATTTTCCCTTAAGAACCCAGAGGGATTTTTTTTTTAATAACAGCAGTATTAAAATATAAACTCACACACCATAAAATTCACCTCTTTACAGTACACAGGTGAGTGGTATTTTAGTACAGGGAGGGATCTGTTTTTTTTGTTTTTTTTTTTACAACCCATGCCAACTCTCATCCCCAACCTCAGAGCCCCTCAAAGCTCTACAAGATTTCAGGTCTTACCTTTTCCCCCCTGCAATTGTCTAGCACATTGGCAGATAATAGGTGCTCAATAAATACTTGTGGAAGGCATATATCCATTATTTTAGAGGCAGGCTAAGCTCAAAGATATACTACAAACAGAAACTCTTGTGTTCTGGTAATGGTATTATAAGTCAGAATTTTATAAACAGTAAAATGCCATGGGTTATTCTTTGCCATTTGACAGTATCTTAGATTGGATATGATGTGATGTATACGTGCTTTGTCCTTGAAAAAGAACACACTCCTTTATCCAATTTCAGACTAGGGAATTTCAGAGATGATGCCCAGATGAGGTAGCCAGGGGGAATTAGTTGAATATCACAGATTCTTTTTTTTTTTTTTAAGTTTTTTAATGTTTGTTTTTTTATTTTTGAGAGACAGAGAGACAGAGCGCGAGTGGAGGAAGAGCAGAGAGAGAGGGAGAGACAGAATCCGAAGCCGGTTCCAGGCTCTGAGCTGTCAGCACAGAGTCCTACGTGGGGCTTGAACTCACAAATCCTAAGACCATGACCTGAGCTGAAGTTGGACGCTTAACCAGCTGAGCACCCAGGCGCCCCAAACATCACAGATTCTTAAGTGAGTGTTTCAGGCACACGGGCAGGAAAACAAAACAAAGCAAAACAACAGCCAATAATTGATGAAACATTTGCTTCAACAGGACTTTGTGGAATAATATGCTGCATGTTGCCCAATAAATAAATAAACTGCCTACTGATTACACTCAAACATTTTTCTCTGAGGGTTGAAAAATAATTGCTGAGTATAAAAATATGCATGGGCTAAATTACCCACCAACACAAAACTGAATATTTGTTCTTAATATTAAATCTCCATGTGACGAAAACTAATTATGGTTATGATTGGTAATCCATATTTTGAAAAGCTCCCAGGACACCAAAAGCACTCGGATGGAGGCAGAGCCCCACGAGGGCGTCTCGACAATGTTCTTAAAAGTTGCCCTGCCAAAACACCAGCAGGAACTCTTGCTGGCTTTCCGCTCAAAGGAGAGACCATCTGTTGCCTCTACTTTCCGTGGATAGAGTAAAAGCAATTTAGAGCAGGTTCCTTCTTCCAAAAACCAGCTTTCTGCACTGAGGTGACTGTTCGGTTCAGTGGTAAGCAGCTTAACAAACATCTCGTTACGACGCTTAAGAAAATAACGCAGCAACTACAAAAGTCCAAATTTATGACTTGACCCAATGAATCACTGCGAAAATATGATGAAATCAGAAGACTGGAAACAACCTACATGCCCATCAATAATAAAAGGAAGCTGGCTGGGGGAATTTGAGTTCATCCAGCCCGTGGCGTGCCACACAGCACTAAAAACACAAGCACAATCGCGTGGCTGATCACAGGGTGACCGCCAGCAGGTAAGTGCAGGGGGCCAGATGCCAAGGGACCAGCAGCGGGCAGTCCCTTCTCTGCTCTGCCCTCCAGCAGCTGCGCGACTCAGAAAAGTCACTCCCTCCTCCGTTTCCCCATGTGTAAAAAGGGGGGACAGTAACAGTTCCTCTCTTAGGGTTGCTAAGAGCTGTTTTTTCGAGAAGACGTTTGCAAAGCACTTAGAATGCCGCTGCCTGACGTAAACACCGCAAGTATTTCAAGCTCTTCTCGTCCCCACACACAGACGTGTTAACAGACGCATGGAGTCTCTCTGGAAATGTTTACGAGGGGCTGCAAACAGGGGTTGCCTCTGAGAGAAGGTTCTGGAGGGTCTGGGAGGAGGTGGTCAGAAGAAGATACAGTTATTTCCAGCACCCTTTTTGGAACGAGTTTCTTTTTACTGTGGGCATTTCTGACTTAAATGAAAAGCCTTATGTTTTTAAAAAAAGAAGCAACAGGGCCCCTGACAGGAGCAAATATTTTTGAGATGAGTATCTGACGTTCACAATGATTCAACTTGGACTCCTACTTGAACGCAGGTGGCCACGCACAGGCCCCTGGATCTGCCAACTCCCAGGACCGGTGCCTTCAGTCCCACCACGGGCTGTGAGCCACTTTCTGTGGCCACCGCATGGGTGAGGCCATCGCTCTTCAGCCGGCCCGCACTTTCCTACCCCTTCCCCTCATCCTGCCAACTCCTGTCTGCCTGAGCGACTTCTCCTGAAACCCTCTACTGGGCCATTTTCCTGCTCAAAACCCTTGTCTCTATCTCCTGTCCCATGGTACCAGGTCCAAACTCCTGAATCCACCTGTGGAGGTCCCCTGGCTTGTCTGACTCCTCTCCATCTGCCTAGCCAGACATGCCTTGACCTTCTGAACAGGCCAGTGCAGGCCAGCCTCACGCGTCTCCTGACCTTACCTTTCCCACCAGCGCCTTCTGTGAGGGACCACGTGGCTCCCAGCTCGGGCACAGGCCACCTGCATCTGAACATCGCCCGGCTGCCGGCAGATGTGGCTGTCCGACCTGGGTAAGTGCCTTCCCCTTTCTGGGCCTCCGCCTCCCCAGAGGGACACAGGGATGCCACCAGCCATGGGCCCCGCCGGCTGGAGGGTGAAGGGCGCTTTTGAATCTCTGGCTCGGGGACAGTCCCGCAGTGTTCCTCCGGCTCCCTCCCTGGCTCTGATCGCCCCTCCCCTTCTCCTGTTGACTCTGGGTTTCAATCTATGCTACACACGTGGGGGAGATCTCAGGACAGGGCCTCCCCCTTGAGGGGTGTGCAGTTCAGTTCAGGTTCAGTGAAGTGATTGACTGAGGCACTTAGGTTTTGGGACTGCATGGCAATCACCAGGGAGAGAGGAGGACGGAGGCCCCGGTGTTGGGGAAGGACCGGTTCGCAGCCCACAGCAGCAGGTCGAGTAGGACGGAGCCAGCGGAAGGTCCCCCATTGGCAGGCACCGTGCCGTGCTGTCCCTGGCGGGGTTGGGACGAAACGGGCCAGAGTGAGGACTCAGCTCAGGCATGGAACTCAAGCGCATGACAAAGGTCTAAAGTGCTTGTGTAAACAGTACAGGTTGGGTGTGTCACCCAAGGGCCACGGCCTCCACGAACACAAGCATCTTCTGACTGGTGAGGGCTCACGAGCTGCCCTGCTTTTCTGCCTAACGCCCTCCCTCTACTGGTCGTCAGAACACCAGTTCTGGGCAGCCTTGCCCAGAAGGGACCCCACCTGCAGGCGGCAGCAATGACCACATCCCCCAGGTCATTCTATTTCAGCCTTTTGTTGTCCCCTTCCCATGCTGGCTCTGCTGTTTGGTGCTAAAAATATTTGCTCACAGCCTGTTCTTTTAAACAGTTTGGATGATTATAAGGGCTCCTGGGTGGCTCAGTCAGTTAAGTGTCTGACTTCGGCTCAGGTCATGATCCCACGGTCCATGAGTTCGAACCCTGCGTCGGGCTCTGTGCTGATGCCTCAGAGCCTGGAGTCTGCTTCGGATTCTGTGTCTCCCTCTCTCTCTGCCCCTCCCCCGCTCACACTCTTTCTCTCTCTCTCTCTCTCTCTCTCTCTCTCTCTCTCTCTCTCTCTCAAAAATAAATAGACATTAACAACAAGTTAGAGGTGCCTGGGTGGCTCAGTCCGTTAAGCGTCTGACTTCAGCTCAGGTCATAATCTCACAGTTCATGAGTTCAAGCCCCGCATGGGGCTCTGTGCTGGCAGCTCGCAGCCTGGAGCCTGCTTCAAATTCTGTGTCTCCTTCTCTCTCTGCCCCTCTCCTGCTCACACTCTGCCTCTCTCTCTTTCACAAACAAATATTAATTTTTTAAAAAAATTTAAATAGTTTGGATGATTAGAGAGAACAGAGCGGCACCCCACCCCCAATCACACACTGATGACTCCTGGGCAGACATGTCTTCATCCGTCCCGCAGAAAATTCCAGTCCTCACTCCACCCCCCACGCCCCACCCCCACCAGTGTTCCAGCACCGATTCCGTGTGAAACATCGGGCGGGACTGGGGAGCCGAGGCTTGTCTCCTCCCAACGAGGACAAGGCGGCCTTTCCTGAAGTGGTAAATCCCACTCAGAAGTTAAAAGGATTCCCACGAAGACGAAAACGCAAACTCTACGCAAGCACAAGTCAGCTTGATGAGGCTGAGCCACGGTGTCCCAGCTCTTACACAGCCTCGCCTCTGACAAGGTGCGTTCCGTCAGCGCTGGCTGCATAAATCACAGCTCGTGGTGGGCCTTTTGCTTCAGCCTCAAGAAACCGTTAGGCCTGAGCGGCTCCAGGAAAAGGGCTTATCCGCCAGGATTATAAATCTCCTCTTTCTACCGTAATGTGAAAGGTATTGCACCGCTGCAACTGTTACTTCGGGCCCGTCCTTTATTAACCAGGCCTTTCGTTTCGACCATTCGGAATGCTGAACGTGTATCAAAAAACCAGAGGGCTCCGTGGGTTGGGGAGGCAGCCTCCCTCCCTTCCTGGAAGCCAGCCGGGCCGCCAGGATGACCTTGGCAGGAGGCCAGAGGGCACTCCCTTGGGCCAGAGAGAGAATTCCAGATTTTGAAAGATGAACCTCGAGATGCCCCCAGAGGAGCTCTGGGTCTCATCCACATCAACACCCTGCAGATTCGAGCCTGCCTTCTCCCTGTAAGTTCCCATCCGCTGTGTTGGCACCTGAAATGCAGTGTAACATGAGGGAGAAGATTTGTGTTTCTCCTGTTCTCCTGGGGCTCTCTTTTCAGACTCTGAGCTCAAGAATCAGAGATGCTGGCAAACAAATCTTTGTGCCTGAGGGGAGCTTAATTAATAAAATAATGACAGTTAAGTAACAGTATCTTTTACAACAGAGAAGAATGAAGAAGATTGCAGATTTCTGATAACGGCTATCAAAGGCTACATGTTACGTACCTAATGAATGTCCTAAATACAGGGGATCTTTCTGGGTGGCTTTAGTAGCTTAAGTGTCCAACTCTTGATTTCAGCTCAGGTCACGATCCCAGGGTCGTGGGATTGAGTCCCACAACAGGCTCTGTGCTGAGTGTGGAGCCTGCTTAGGATTCTCTCTCTCTCTCTCTCTCTCTCTCCTCCCTCCCTCCCCCCCCCCCCCCCCCCCCCTGGCCCTCTCCCCTGCTTATGTGTGCATGCACGCACCCTCTCTCCCTAAAATAAATAAAAATCTAAAAATTAAATGCATGTGATCTTTGAAAAGACAGACTAAATTTTACCCAGAAGACTTCATAGCTTCCTAAGAAAAAATAATTAGTCCCATTGCTTTCTACAGGAAGAAAACCCAATGCCCCCAATCTACAAAGCTATCCTAGGAAAATAGCAAAAGCTTACGTCTTTGGCACATTTTTTGATCCACGCAAATCACCATATTTTCTAATAAGAAAAATTAGAAGCTTTTCATTGCATGGAAGCATAATACAAAAGGACCTTTTTGGGTTTAGCAACATTATTATGATCATAATCATCAGTCATTGCCAATAACCAAAGCAGAATCAATTGTTGGGGTATCCGTATAGTTAGGGTAACCGCCATCCAATTTGAGACACCCACAAGAGCGCAAAGGACTATCATTAGTAAACATGACCTGACTATATGCATAAACTGGACCGTCGCAGGCAAACCTGGACACGTAGTCCCCCTGACTGTGTGATCTTCTGACACACTATGTGCATCTTGGTGCTTTGTTCTGCCAAGGCAGAGCACATGAGAAAACTCTCAGGCTTCATGAAAGGGCCCAGGAACAGGGGCGATGGGCAGGGGGCACGAAGGCCACTGGGCAAATGGGGTGCCTTGCTGTAGACATCGTTCATTCACCCCATAGCCCTGGGTCTGGATCTGCTTGTTTGCCCTCTGTTCCAACAATACCCTTATCCGACATTTGACTGGACATAAATCCAACCCCGGATATAAATCCTCTAAAGGGAGTATGTCCTGTTCTATCCTATTTCCCAGGTGTCACTAGGATGATGGCATCTGCTGAATGAGGATCAGCGGAGATGTGGGGGGTGATGAAGAAAAGCAAGTAATTGAGATATTCGCCGTAAATATTGCTATCAACACCTTCCATCAATTACATGCCTGCTCCAGGCCTGGCCTTGAGCCTCACACTTTATAGGCATCATATTCAACCCCCTCAATCATGCATGGAAATGTTATCACAAATTTACAGGTGAGGAAAGTGAAATGTAGACGTCACAGGGCTAGGATGTGGTAGCGAGGTCTGGAAAACTCTAGAACCCATGCACTTTCCTCCACAATTGTACCACCCAAAGGACTCAGCCTGTTTGGGGTTGGCCCTGAATGAGAAAGAAAAAGACGAAAAGCAAACCCATTGCCGCAAGCCTCCAAAAGATTTATCAGTCCAGATGTGATGGCCGGGATGACATTGTCCACGTTTTATAGAGAAAAGGAGTGTCCATAAATCCAATTGTAAGTGGTACTATGGTATTATATTTTAACAACTCAGAGGAGTCTGGTGAAAAATCCTTACGGCCTTGGTCAAATACAAGAGCTTATGATAGAAACAGACACTTGAGATTTCCAGAGTCATCCTTTCTCACGCAGCTCTGGGTTCCAGGAGATAATCAGCAAATATCAATTAAACCATCAATGTAACAGGCTCGATGTGTCAATTAACCCCACCTATTAACAAAACGTTTTTCGGTGGACTCTCCTTCCTGCCGCTATTACCAGACAGCTCTGGGTAACTGGAGCGTTCTTGTCAGTTTACAGGCAAATCAGAAATAGGGGTTTTGCGCTGACTTGGTTAATCGAAGGGAACGGACCTGGATCATATCTGTCAGAACTGGGCCATGGGGAATTGGAGATAAGGCGAACAAATGGAGCGACAGGAGCTTGATAATTCTGGAATTTGCCATGGTAATAAACCATATCGAGCAGGAGGTCTGCAAGCCACGGCGGAGACCAAGCCGAAGACTAAAAGATAGGACGACGCAACACATTTCTATAGAAGCTCTGAAAGGGGCAGATAAAATAACAATTATTACGCTCAGGTTCTTGGCTCATGGGCGATTTTAACATACGCCCGTTTCCACTCTTTTTATAACGTTACCACATGTGGACAAGGTTAAAATACCTGAAATAAACTCTCGCCATCTGTCTTTTCTCTCTCACTAGCGGAAAAGGAATTTGGCTACGAGTGGCTGCTCATTGTTCATACCCAATGCGAGCAGAGAGACAGGTGCCAAAATCCATCGCGGGGGACGGGGAAGGGGGGGCAGGTCTGAGATTCGAAGACCTGGAACCTCGCCCTTCGCCAGGGAGATCCCACCGAGCACGTGGGCTGAGCCAGGTGCTACGAAACCCTACCAGGTTAAAGAGGTACCCGATCACCGACACTGTCGCCAAGCAAATGTGAGAAGTGGTGGCATCTTTACTCTCCCCCACGTCAGTGTTTATTTCTGATTACAGAACACACAGAGATCCTCAGAGCCAGAAGGCCAGACCGGGTCTCAAGAGGTCATCTCGTCCTGGGCGACCCAGTGGACACCCCACCGTCCAGCAGATGTCCCCTCCTCTAAGAGAGGGCTCTCTCTCAAGATCCTCAGCAGCCGCGTTCAGCCTCTTTTGAGCTGGGATGCTGGCTAACCCAGCACCTGCACACAGCCGCGTCATGCGGAGTTGTGGGCAGTGCTATTCTTTCAACTAAGTTGGCGGGGGGGGCACTCAGTTACAGGGATGGCTCACAGGCTCCTAGCCCCCAGGATAACGGATTGTATATTCTGGGTTTCTGCACAAAGCTTTAGTTTGTAGAGAGGATGCCAGGTTTGGAAATCTCTGCAGCGCAGCAGTCTCCCTCTTAAAAAACAAAAAAACAACACAACACAACAAAACAAAACAAAAAACACTGCATTCAGGATAATTTGCCAGCCAAGTCTTATAAGAAATTGAATTGGCCGGTTCATAAGGAGGGGCCCCAGGCCTGTGTGTCCTTGTGCAAATCCCATAAGCCTCTGTGAGTCTGTGTCCTCATCTGAAAATGCGGACAAGGCTAGCGTTTGTCCCACTGTGTTTTTAGGGGGAGAGCTGAGGACAGCCCCATTCACAGCAAATGCTCAGCACACAGGCTTATGAAGTCTCTTCCAGGCAAAGTGCCGTTCCCAGGGTCCCGGCCACAGAATGGGCTGGTGTCCTACAGGCTACAGCCCTGCGGTGGGTCTGTCCCATGTGCTGACCTCGACACTCCCCTGAAGCTTCCATCTGGGAGCTCTCGGCTCGCATTTTTGGGTTGTTTTCTAACCATAAAGAAGACAGGCGTCATGGTAGCGACGTCAAGTTTCAGGAACAGTCAGTGAAGGCAGAGGCTGTTGAGAAGCTACAATTTCACACCTACGGTGACGGAGGCAGAACACTCACTAGCCAGCCTAGTCTTCCCGTCTTCCCGCGTTCACCCTCACAAGGATTTCTGACTCTCCTGAGAGACCTCAGCCTTTATTCCATGCATACTCCAATTCCTTGGGAAATTAGACTGGCAATGGGAAATTTTCCATCATTTCACACAGGGACAAGGGAGAAAAGCCCTTGTCAGCCGATTCATCATGCTTGCTACTTGTCCCTCTGCTTCCTAGCGATTCAGAAACAAATGCTACCAAATCGACCACAAATGCTTTACTCAAATAAAAAATAGCTTTCGTGTTGCCTGTCATTTCTTTACCAATTCACAGTTTATACATTTTCACGAGCCCATTTATCTTTCTCATTTTTTTTGAGGGGTCATTGGCATTAGTTTCAGGCATACAACATAATGATTTCATATTTGCACGCATTGTGAAATGATCACCGTTAAGTCGCCAGAGTTAATATTATTGATTATATTCCCCATTCTGTACATTCTGCCTCCATGACTTATTTATTTTATAACCGGACGTCTGTATTTCTTGATCCCCTTCATTCACTTTGCGCCCTCCCCCAAACCCCATTTCTCCTCTGGCAACCACCAATCTGTTCTCTGTGTCTATGAGTCTGGGCTTTGTTTTGTTTTGTTTTTTTAGATTCCTCATACAAGGGAAAGCGTGTGGTATTTGTCTTTCTCTGGGTGATTTATTTCACTTAACTCAAGGCCTGTCCATGCCGTCACAAAATGGCAAGATTTTCATTTATTTTTTTTATAGATGAATAATATTCCAATGAATATGTATGCCACATCTTCTTTATCCGTTAATCTGTTGATGGGCACTTAGGTTGTTTCCATATCGTGGCCATTGTAAATAATGCTGCAATGAACGTAAGGCTGAGTATTTCTTTTCACATTAATGTACCCATTTTCTTCAGGTAGATACCCAGTAGTGGAATTACTGGATCGTATGATAATTCTATTTTTAATTTTTTGAGGAATTCATATGGTTTTCCACAGTGACTGAACCAATATCCATTCTCACCATCAGTGCACAAGGGTTCTCTTTTTTTCCCACATCCTTGCCAACACTTACTATTTCTTGTCTTTTTAATAATAGTCACTGACTTGATCATATGATTTTTATCGTTCATTTTATGTGGCATATCCCACTGATTGATTTGTAGCTGTTGAACCATCCTTGCATCCCTGGGACAAATCCCTCTTGGTTATGATGTACCGTCCTTTTAATGCATCATTGAATTTGGTTTGATGATATTTTATTGAGTACTTTTGTATCTATGTTCATCAGGTGTATTGGCCTATAATTTTTTTTTTTTTTTTTTTTTTGATGGTGGTGTCCTCAGGTTTTGGTTTCAGGGTAATGCTGGGCTCATACGGTGAGTTTGGGAGCATTGCCTACTCTTTGATTGGAAAAGTTTGAGAAGGATAGGTATTAAATCTTCTTTAAAGGTTTCATAAAATTCACCCACTGAAGCCATCTGGTCCTGGACTTTAGTTTGTTGGGAGATTTTTGATTACTGATTCAATCTCCTTACTAGTAATTGGTCTACTCGTATTTTCTATTTCTTCATGATTCAGTCTAGGAAGATTATTTAAGTTTATAGGAATCTATCCATTTCTTCTAGGTTGTTCAGTGTTGGCATATAATTAGAGAATGGTCTCTTTTGATCCTTTGTGTTTCTGTGGTATCGGCTGTAACTTTTCTCTTTCATTTCTGATTTTATTTATTTGAGCCCTGTCTCTTTTTTCTTGGTGAGTCCAGCTAAAGATTTGTCCATTTTCTTAATCTTTCCAAAGAACCAGGTCTGGTTTCATTGATCTTTTTGATTGTCTTTTAGTTTTTTCATTTATTTCCACTCTGACCTTAATTATTTACTTCCTTCTACTAACGTTGGGCTTCATTTGTTCTTCTTTTTCTGGCTCCTTCGGGTGTAAAGTTAAATAGTTTATTTGGGATTTTCTTGTTTCTTATGGTAGGATGTATTGCTATGAACTTCCCTCTACTTTTGCTACATCCCATGGATTTTGATACGTCATATTTCTGTTGTCATTTACCACTAGGAACTTTTTAATTTTTTCTATGACCAAGTAGTTTTCTCGGTGTCATGTTGTTTAATCTCTACATATTTTTAGTTTTTAGTTTTTCTCTTGTATTTGACCTCTAGTTTCATACCACTGTGGTTGGAAAAGATGCTTGACACGATTTCAAACTTCTTGAACTTTCTGAGATTTGTTTGGTGGTCTAACGTGTGATCTGTTCTGGAGAATGTTCCACGTGCATTTGAGAAGAATGTGTATTCTGCTGCTTTTGGATAGAATATTCTGCATTTAACTATTAAGTCCATCGGGTCTAATGTGTCATTTAGGGTCAATGTTTTCTTACTGATTTTCTGTCTGGGTGATCTATCCATTGATGTAAGCAGGGTGTTAAAGTCCCCAATTATTATTGTATTACTGTCAACTTCTACCTTTAGATCTGTTAATATTTGCTTTGTTTATATTGGTGCTTCTATGTTGGATGCATATTTATTTATAAATATTATATCCTATTGCTGGATTGATCCCTTTATTATTATGTAATGCTTATCTTTGTCTTTTATTATAGTCTTTGGCTTAAAGTCTATTTCACCTAAGTATAGCTATAATAGCTTTCTGTTTCCATTTGCATGGAATATCTTTTTCCAGCCCTTCCCTTTTAGTGTTTGTGTGTCCTTACTCTGAGGTGTGTCTCTTGTAGGCTGTATACAGATGTGTCTTGTTCTTTTATCCATTCAGCCACTCTGTCTTTTGATTGAAGAATTTAGTCCATTTACACTTAAAGTAATTATTTAAAGGTATGTATTTTTTTTGGCATCTTGTTAATTGTTTTCTGGGTGCTTTTGCAATTCCTGTTTCTTCCTTCTTTTTCTCCGTTCTCTTGTGGTTGGATGATTTTCTTTAGTACTACATTTACATTCATTTCTCATTTTCTTTTGTGTATTTACTAGAAGTTTTTACTTTGTGGTTATTGTGAGGTTCACACATATCACCTTTTGTATACCATGGCCTGTTTTAAGTTAATAACAACTTAAATTTGAACACTTTCCAAAACTCTACATTTTTCTCCCCCCTCCTATTTTATGTTTTTGATGTCACATTTCACATCTTTTTATTTTCTGTATCCCTCAACTAATTATGGTTTCAGTTAATTTTAGTACTTTTGTCTTTTAACCATAATAATTGCTTTATAAGTGATTAATCCACTACCTTTACTATGTATTTACCTTTACCAGAGAGGTTTTTACTTTTGCGTTTTCTTGCCAATTCTTTTAAGCTTAACCAAGTACCTTTAATATTTCTTTTAAGGCTGGTTTGGTAGTGATGAATTCCTTTACATCCTTTAGCTTTTGCTGGTCTAGAAAACTCTTTATCTTTCCTTTGATTTTTGAACAATAACCTACAAAGTTTCTGCTGAGAAATCTGCTGATAGCCTTATGGGGTTTCCCTTGTACATACCAATTTGTGTTTTTCTTTCTACTTTTAAGATTTTTTAACTTCAGACATCTTTAATTATAATGTGTCTTGGTGTGGACCTCATTGAATTCATCTTCTTTGGAACTCTCTGGGCTTCCTGGACATGGATATCTGTTTCTTTCCCTAGGTTAGGGAAGTGTGCAGCCATTATTTCTTCAAATAAGTTTTCTGCTTCTTTCTCTCTCTCTTCTCTTTCTGGGATCCCTATAATGCAAATTATGTTCTCTTCTCCTTCTGGGATGGCTATAATGCAAATGTTATACTGCTTGGTATTGTCCCATAGTTCTCTTAAGTTATATTCATTTTTTTAATGCTTTTTTTTGTGACTCTGTTTGGGTGAATTCCATTGCTTTGTATTCCAGCTCATTGGTCTGTTCTTTCACTTCATCCAGTCTGTTGTTGACCCCCTGTAGAGTATTTTTCAGTTCATTATTGTATTCTTCAGCTCCGTGACTTCTGTTTGGCAGTTTCTTATGTCTTTTATGTCTTTGTTGAAGTTCTCACTGTGTTCATCTGTTCTCCTAAATTCAATGAGCATCTTTAGAAACATTATTTGAATTCTTTATCAAGTAGATTACCTATCTCCATACCTCCATTTCTGAGGTCTTGTCTTGTTCTTTCACTGGGAACATATTTCTGTTTCTTTATTTTGCTTGACTCTCTGTGTTTTGTTTCTTTTTTTTTTTAATGTTTATTTATTTTTGAGAGAGAGAGAGAGAGAGAATGGGGGAGGGGACGAGAGAGAGGGAGACACAGAATCTGAAGCAGCCTCCAGGATCTGAGCTGTCAGCACAGAGCTCTATGTGGGGCTTGAACTCGTGAGCCCATGAGAGAATGACCTGAGCTGAAGTTGGATGCTCAACTGGCTGAGCCACCCAGGTGCCCCTCTGTGTTTTATTTCTGATAGGTGAAACAGCCACCTCTCTCACTCTTGAAACAGTGGCCCTGTGTAGGTGATGAACCTTCTCCTTAGACCTCCCCTAGTTCTTGGTTGTCTCTCTAACCTTTGTGATTGTCTACACTTATTCTTAGTAGGTCTCCACTATTGACGATGTGCCAAGACCTGTCCATGTTCCAAGGGGAGGAATCTCATTTAGCACCTAGTTTCGGGTGGACTGGACGCCAGACCCTAGAGCAGAAGCTTTTAATACATGCAAATATATACAGCCAGTGAGATCATAATCTCTGCTGGCCTCCATACCGGGAGATCTAGAGGTGTCCACTGAGCGACAGTTATAAAAATCGGGACTCCACATGAGTGTATAAGCTCCTTTCTGGGAGGTCTTGTCAAGCTGTATTCAGGCCAAGGCAGTGAGAAAGGATGGTGTCTCTTGCTTATGTTCTCTGCCTCCTTAGCCTGAAGATACGTGGGAAACCTGAAGCCTCTCCCTCAGGAAGCTCCTGGCTAAGTAAATATACTTTTTTTTCACAGGAAGACCGGGGTTGTGTTTCAGTCTGTTGTCTGTGCAGTGTCCTGGCGGTGGAGATCTGTTGAGAACTATCTTTCTAATTGTTACTTTCCCAGGGGAGCTCAGGAATGCCAGCCTTCTTAGTCACCAGGGCCAGGAGATCAAGGGGCATCCCCTGTGTGGACTGCACGTACATGGAGGCTTTAGCTGGGCAGCAGGAGAATGTAGAAGGTGGGGCACACTCCCTGGCTCCAGAAAGGTGGTGGGAAAATAAATTCCCTGATGGCACGTGTGCCCATAGGCTTTAGGAATGCAGTGGGAGAGTGGTTTGTCTGTGAGATGAGACAGAAGGATGCTACCACCACT